AACCATTTTTCCCTGGCATGATCGAATACATGTCATCTGGTCCGGTTGTACCGATGGTTTGGGAAGGTTTGAACGTCGTTAAAACTGGTAGAGTAATGCTCGGAGCCACTGATCCAAAAGATTCAGCACCAGGTACGATTCGTGGAGATTTTTGCATTCAAGTTGGAAGAAATGGAGTTCACGGTTCAGACTCTGTAGAATCAGCCAACAAAGAAATAAAATTATGGTTCAAACCCGAAGAACTTGCTGACTGGAAGAGAGACACAGAAAAGTGGATTTACGAATTTTAATGAAATATTGTTGTAATCGTGTATGAAATTCACCTGAGAAGATATGAAAAAGAATGCCATTAGTCAGAAACCTACATTGTTGTTTTTTTTTTTTCTTTAAAAAATCCAATAAATAGTTTACACGATATTTTGTGCAGTAACAAGAATCACCAGTGATCAATTTCAAATCATACAAAATTTAATCTTTGTAATATACATACATATTTATATACATCATGTGATAAATATATATTATTTAATTTTTTAAAAAATATATATTAGAAAAATTTTTTTTTTAAATTTGTTTTGTTTTTTTTTTTTTGAGATACCTTAATTTTTAATTATATGCAACTACATTTTGATAAGAATGACTTAAAGGAAGCCAACTTCTGTTTATTTGATGTCATTACAATATGTTGCAATTAAATCGTCAACATTTTTTTTTTTTATTCTATTAGTTGTTGGACATATGGGAAGAGAATAAACAAAATATATGTAAACCAATTCTAGGTTAACATTCAAAAAAACACATTATTGTATTTAATAAAGGATTTTACCTATTTAATGATTTTTGTCTATTTTGTAATTATTATAAAGCAATTTTTTACTTGACAAAATATGCTTTTATCAAATATTATATTAGTAATGACATTTTTTTTCATCCAATCTTATTTAATTTAACCGTATGGTTGTTAATTTCAGGGTATTTCCTTTTTTTTTAAATGAATGACGTCATTTTTAATTTATCAAATTGACAACAGATTTCGTTTGCGTCATTTTTAGTTTATTAAATTGACAACAGATTTCGTTTGCATCATTTTTAGTTTATAAAATTGACAACGGATGTCGTATGCGTCATTTTTAGTTTTACCGTTTTGTGAGTAACAACTGTTTTGAAAAACAACCATAAACGTGTTCGCGAGTGTGTGTGAAATGTTTTTTTTTTTTTTTTTTTTTTGAAAAAACTCTCAGGTAAAAAAAATTTAATATTTATTTAAAACAAAAATATCATCATCACCCCTCTTTTTTAAAATTAAAAGTAATTATTATTATTATCAGCATAAAATTTATATGAATTTTATTAAAAAATTAAACATAACGACAACCGGATTTCGTTAGGATTATCAAAAAAAAAATTTTTTCTCCCCTGTATTTAAAAAAAAAAAAAAAATCTTATATAATTTAACATTCAACCTACAAACAAAAAAAAATGGCTATCTAGCAACAACAACGACAACAACAACAATACCGATATCGAGTCTTTATTTCTATTATTATAAAAAAAAAAAAAAAAAGGTTTATGATAAACTTAAAAAGGTTGTTTATTACAAAAGTAGTAGTTTATTCCCGGATAAAGATCGTAAAGGAAAATTCGTAAAAAAAAAAAAAAAAAATAGAAAATTTCAGCCATTTTCTCTCTTTCTCTCTCTCTCTCTCTCTCCTTTTTTGCTTTCCTTTTTCCATTAAAAAAAAAAAAACAGGTTATAAAAAGTTTTTATGCCCAGTTAGAAAAAAAAAAAAAAGGGTCTTATTAAATACATTATAGTTTTCTTTTTAAAAAATAATAATAATAATGATAAGAGAGAGAGAGAGAGAGAGAGAGAGAGAGAGAGGAAAAAAGT